AGTTGTTTTAATGAAAGTATTAAGACTTTATTAGTAAAGAAGTATAAAAACTTCTTGTGAACATCTTTTTTGTGTGTAGTCAAAGGATCAGTGAAAAGAGTTTTTTTTTATGATCGCAAATTCAACTATATAAAAATATAGTATTTTATAAACTGTATTTAATATTTAAATATATATAGTATTTAAAAAAAAAATTTTTATAAAAAAGTTTTTAATTTTAAAATATAAATATGATTAAAATCATGATAACTTTTTTTACTAATCTTCTAAATATACATAAAAAAGATTTTTGCAATAAGTTATTGATTCTTGTATTATAAAAAGTCTTAATATTTTTCTTAAACCAATCTAAAGAGTATCTTCAAAAGTTATCTCCATTCTCATTTCTTGTTTATAATTCTTTTTAAATAAAAACTAGATCTTTATGATCTATAAAAGTTAAATAACACTTTTTGAATTAAAGACAAAAAAGTTTAGAAACTAACATATAGTTATATTATATTGTAGAAAAATACTACAAAGTAATAATTGTAAAAAAAAGCAATATACTTATTTTTTTGTTATCAAGTTATACTTTAATAGTACTCTTTTTTGAGTTTTTTTTAAAAAATTTTGCCTATTTAAGCTTGATTTTGAATTTTAGTAACACAAAGTTTTTTATATTATAACTGAATAGTAATTTTCATATTAATAAAAGATATAATCAAATTTCTATTGATCATTTAATACATTTTTTCAGATTTATAAGAACCTGAGATCCACTATAAGTTATTCTTGTCAATATAAATGAATAAAAACAATATTAATTACTATATCTTTGGCTAAATAAAAAAGAAAAAAGATATCTCTTCTTCTTTTCCATCAAGAAAAAAAAATAAAAACAAGGTTCAAAGGAATACAAAATAAGAATAATGCCTTAAAAGTGTTATGTCAATTTTTTATTAGCATAAATTTTGAAAGATTAAGGAGATTTTAGAATTATTCATATCTAATCAACAATATCAATATATAGTTATTTAATCCACATATCTAAAAAATATATTATATAAGACATTAGACAATAGTTTAATCTCTACCAATAATAATACTTTGAAAAAAACAATATAATATTTATCAAGTTCAACAAGATATATACTGGAAGTATCAAGATTTTTTTTTTAGATTGAAGTTATTATAATAGTAAAGAAGAACAGATTACTAGATAATAGATCTCCAACTTTTCAATATCTATTTATTTCAAAGATTCTAACTTACTATTACTTAAAAGAACAATAATAGAAGATTTTATATTGGATAAAATATGAAAGAAAAAACAAGAACTGATAGACAAGGATTATAAGATAGAGATACTGAAAGTTCTTCAAAAAGTAATCAATCTATGATATCAAAATAGAAGTAGTAGTAATGTATTCAAGTTGCTTATAATCAAACCATTTCTTCTTTTTTTTTTAATATTTTTTTGTAATACAAAATCTTTACTCCTGTTTAAATTTGCATAGTTTTGTCTTTATTTTTTCTTTTTAAATAGAGTAAATATGATAGAAGAATATTGGATATAATGTCAAAACAGATTATATAGTTTGTGATAGATATAGAATTAAATACATTAACACTCCATTAAAATTTTATTACACTAATGATCTTCTCATTGAGTTTTTGTTTGGAAATGGCTTAACCATGAGATGATTTCTTAATCTATCATTAGTTTATTAATTCATCATTGTTTTATTTATCGGTCAGGTGTACTTATATAGTAAAACTTCACTAATAAACTTGACTAAGCCAGAATTAAAAAAAAAAATAAATAAATAAATAAATATGATATTTGATTTCAGATGAAACTTAAAAATGAGTTATCATATCACATATTCTAGAATTATTTTAAGATTACCAATAGTCTTTTCTTATTATAAGCAAACATGTGATAAATAGTTTTGGATAATAAATATTATAATTCAAAATAGGATTAATAATGAGATATAAAAATGGTTGATATGAAAGAATTGAGAAACAACGAAATTACAAAATGACAACCAAGTATTCACTATCAATTATTTTGATGGTTGTGATCAATCTCATCCGAATGAATACATTATTTTTTATAATTTCATGAAGAATTATAAATAAATTTATTAAAATTGTTAAAAACTCGTCAATTACAGTACTGTATATTTTTGATCTTGAAATTTAACGTTATATACTCAAAACCGGTGTAACAATCTTTTCAATTGCAGGATTTTTTTTTGATAAAATACTATATATTTAAACACGAATAATGAATTCTTACAGGTTTGAAATATAAGTAAAGCGATCATAGAATAATTTATAGGATTTATTTAATAACACGAATCCGTGAACAATTTTAAAAACCCTTAGATTCAAGTTCCTTTTTTGCTTCCTTGGACCCTTTATCTGCTGCCGCTTTCAAATAATCCAAATACTTTTCATTATCAACCGGAAAATCATGTTCTCCATTCAAATGTAATTGAGAAAACATATATAAAGCATCGGGGTCCTTGGAATCAACTGCTTTTCTAAGATACTTTATACCTTCGTTCCGAGAATAATAAATCCCGTTAAGACAGGCGTGAGCATACAAGTATTGACCTCGTGTATAGCCACCCTCGGCTGATTTTCCAAGGTATAGTAAAGCTTTGATTTCATCTTTAGCAATTCCATCGAAGCCCCCGCAATAATAAAGTCCTGCATAATATGCAGCTCTAGGATCACCTCTGTGTGCCAACCGTCGGAAGTGAGGCAAAGCTTTATCGTATTGTTCTTTATTGTGGAGAGATATTGCCTCATCAATATTTAGTAATGGTCCATTTTGCAGACTAGCGCTCTTGGTAGGTGTAATGGAGACTTCAATGGAAGACAACGACGTTTGTGAATCACTTCGTTTTGGTGGTCTTAGTTCATTTTCTTCAGTTTTTCTCATGTTTTTAAGTTGTTTTAGCATTTTTTTGATTGATTGACGACAAGTAAAATCATGGTCCCATGCTTGCTCGACTATTTCTATATATTTTTCCGGTGTGTCTTCTGGGAATGGGGTGGGTCTTTTTCTGCTTAAAATTTTCTCTCTTACTTGCATATCGTTTTCAATATCACAGAATGGATTCCTGTGAGATGCAATTTCCCATAGAAGGATAGCGAAACTATGCATTTTCAAATATTGTTAGATAATTTTCAGGTGCAGCATATTTATTCACATTATACTGTACCTGTATACTTCGCATTTATCGGTGTAAGGCAAGTTTGGAAATTGAATTTTTTCTGGCGCAGTCCACCTAAAATTTGTTAAAAACTTTAGTGGATTAAACCTTCGGAAAACTTAAATTTTATTATTCGAAAAGTTAAAACCTTATAGCTTCAGTCGGCATTTTGCTAGATACTCCTCCAATTTTTCGACTCATATCAAAATTAGTAAGTTTTGCATCAAAGGAATTATTGACTAACACATTTTTGCTAAGCCAAAAGACTTTGTCGTTAACACAAATTGTACAAATATGAGAATTATAAAACGATATAGATCATATACCTTCGGACGTCTCGATGAAAAATGTTGGCACCATTGCAAAACAAAAGACCTGTTGCAATTTGTTCCGCTATTTTAAGTTTAGTTTGCCACGGAATCGACAATTTGTCACGTAAACACTCCTTTAGACTTCTATTTTCCATCCATTCAGTAACCACAAAAAAATAATCAGTTCCATTCACGTTTTCATCATAGATGCCATAACTATAAAAAAAGAAGTAATTAGGTTAGCTAAATGAACTATTCGAAAGTTAAGCAAAAATTACAAATACTTAAAATTTTTCAATATAGTCGCAGCAACCGAGCAAATTAATAATTTTCGCTATTTTTTCAATTTTCTTTTTCTCTATATCCAAATCAGAACTTGGTAGTTTTTTCACTGCTACTTCATTCCCGATATAGACACGTTTTCGGATATTATTTCTCGTAACTTTGTTCTCGTTATCATCGTCATCTTCAAAGAGAAATGGATTAATTTTCAAACTCTCAATAGCTTCATCTGTAAGATCGTCATCTCCTCCCTTCTGCAGCAGCATAATTTCTATAAAAGCTTTTAAATCATCGGCCATATCTTTCATATCATCTTTCATTTCTGTGATTTTATCATCCACGTCTCTTATTTTATTATTGGTATCAAGTATTATACTATTATAAAAATCCATTGTGGCATCAGTAAAATTTTGGAGCAATTTTTTATTCACATCAGCAATCTTGAATAAAATGATTAAAATGATCAATTTTTGAGCCATGAAATAAATGAGTAATCCATAAAGATCTTACTTTATCTGCACTTGCTAATTCTTTGAACCATTTCATTGCCTTCGCATTAAACTTTCCAGGTTTATCAATTTCTTCCAAATATCGGCTTATGTCACCCAACGCTTTTTCATATGCCTTTCGTGGTTCTTCGATATTAATTTGCGGAGAGCATTTCACTTCTGTAAGAATTTCTAAACTCTTTTTTACACGAGCAGAAATATACTTGCATATCTCCTTATTATGCTTTGCAGTATCTGCCCGGTCTATAATCTTTTGAACGATAGCGGCTATAGTACTCCCGAGAAACGGTATATTGGCGCATACTTGGACAGCAGTAAACTTGGCGGAATCCTCCAAAATAACAGGTAACAAATGTTGGTCTTCCATTCTGCTACGGTGAGATCAAGCAATATGCACATTTTCGATGTATATAATGTTGTGAAGAGAAACAGTAACACAACATATGTTGTATGCGCGTTCAATAGTAAATTTAGGTTATTGTTTAAAGAGAATTCATAAAAAGTTTCACAATCATAGCATATTTTTATTGAGACATTCTATAATAACTATTATATAAACTACAGTATTTACAATATATACTGTAGTAGCTAACTTATTAGTATATATTATTAATTGAAAAACTATGCCATTTTAAAACTGAATTAGATTGAGTAAAGCAAAATCTTAACTAGGTATTCCAAGTTAAATTTAAAGAAATAATACTTTATTTCCTTAATAGATTGATGCCAATGATCTTTATTAGAATTGCTATATTATCAATTATATGTTATTATAAATTATTTTAAAAAATAAAAAATTATTAAATTAATATATTGAAAAAAATAAAAATAAAAAATAAAATAAAATCAATTAAATTCTTTAAAAATTCATATTTATATTAATATTTTTGCTTAAAAAATATATATTTAATTAAATATTTTTTTTATTTTAAATATTTTTATTTGTATACTACATAATAAAATATTTTGTTAAAGTTAAATTTTTATTTAATTTATTTATTTCTATTTTATATTTTCTTAAAACTTTAAATACAACTTCAAAGATAATTTATTATTTTATTAATTTTTTTTTTTTTTAAATGCTAGCTCATCCTTGCATCAGATTGATATCTTTATTAATTATTAAGATACATTCTAGAAACAATTGGGATTACTAGTTACCTGTACTGTCTAAGAATTTACAAATCAACGAATAGTACAAAGGATATCTATTTACATCTCACCCAACCAGAATAGGGGAACTATATTACCATCTAGTATAGAATTTCTCTTAATCCTTAACAAAGTTGAAAGAAGGTGGATGTATGCTACTAAAATAATAGGTTACAAATTGTACTCTCTCATCGCAAACTGATGCTTCCTAGGAGATATCACGGAACGGCTTGTTGCTACCCTTTTGGGGGGAACTAACATGCCAAGAACTTGCCTAAGATGCCCAACACCACCAGTGTTGGAAATGTTTTATATAAGATCTGAAGACCTTGTTAGTGCTGAAAAAAAAAAAGAAAAAATATGAATCTGTTTTGTATCTTGACTGGGATGTGGTCTTGTGTCACGGAACTCCTGTCACCTATCTATTGAGAAACTGTTTTGTATGGTCCTTATGTTTTTGTGGATAGTCGGGTCTGTCTTTGCATACAGTCCATAGGCTTGTTTACTCTTCCTTGATGACTAATAATTTAGGAGGTTGCAGTGTCCTGTATTCACCTGTACCAGTACATGACTTATGGTGGACCCCAGGTTCTTATAGAGCTAAGGAAATGCATTCAGACATGTGAGGTGGCCAATGAGAGCTTGTTTATCAATCTTGTTCAATATGTTTCATGTTGATCAATCAGAATTAATGGAATTCATACTACTCAAAATTTCAGGGTCAAGCTGGAATAGGCAAAATTCCCCAAAAAGCCATGAAAAGTGATAGCTCTAAGTGGACATATAACCATTCAAAGAATAAAAAATGAGTTCTTTGGATGGGAGAAACTCCCTCTCAAATATTGTTTTGTTCCTCCACTTCATCTGATAGTTGTTAGGTACTCTGCTGTTGGTCCTTCTTCCTTGAGAAACTTTCTTGCCATTGGTAGTCAAGGTAGATGCTAGACTTTGCAGGCCACAAGAGTCCAGTATTGTTCGTAGAAAATTGTAAACAATATGAAGGGAAGTAGTGGAGTCCTGAAGGAAATCTCTTTAGATTGGTTTAAAGAAAATATTAAGACTTTATTAGCATAGAAGTGACAAGACTTCTGTGAATGTTTTTTTTTGTGTGTAGTCAGAGAATCAGTAGAAAGAGTTTTGATTTATGATATGATTATTTTATTAAAAGTTTAAATAAAAATCTTTTTAACTATTAATATTATTATTTATAAATTACTATTACAAATTATTGTATAAAGTTTTTTAAATTTTTGTTTTTTAAGTTTCCTTTTTTTTTATTAAAAGTATAATTTCTTGATTTAAAAAATTAAAAAATATTTTTAGTTTGTTCTTTCTATAGATTCTTTATACTTGTTTCTATTTAATTATTTTTTTATATGAATAATTGAAAATATTTCTATAATAGAGTTTATTATTTATATATAAGAAAAATTATTTTATTTAAAAAAAGTAATAGTATATATTTTCTTATAGTTTTAATCAGATAAAAGTATATTTATTCAATAAGATGATAAATAGTTAATATATATTATAATTATTAGAAGTTTTTAAATTAAATAATATTTTATATTTGAAGAAATAATATTATTATTAAATAAAAACTATTTATATAATAGTTTCTTTAATATATTTGATAATTTGAAAATTAATTAAAACTTTAAAATTATTATTTTAATAATTTTAAATTTTAATGAATATAAATAGATTAAAAATTTTTGATCCTATAAAAAATTATAAAAATTATAAAAATTTTTATTAATATCTGAAATTATTTATCAAATTTAATATTTTAGTTCTAATTATTATTATTAAAATATTTAAAAAAGTAAAAAGATACTTTATAATAATATACAAATATTAATAACCAGTTTGAAATATTAATATATTAATATAATATATTTTTTTAATTTACATTTTAAAAAATTGTTTATAGTTACCCATTACCAATTCTATGGATGTACCTGGAGGGATTATAACTCAAAATATTAAAGACAAGAAAAAATGCCAGAAAAAATGAAGTTATCACAGGCAAATATCTCGTCCTTCTGAAATAACAAACCAAATTAATTACCTGTTTATGTGCCATTCAATCCTGCCTGATTTCAACTACAATAATTGCTGCTAAATCCTTGTGATATAAAAAAACAAAGAATGGCCTTATACTTTTAAATAATATCGATGAAATTATGACTAGCTCCAACTATCAAGCCCCATATATTAATAGATTCCACTATACTAATCAATCAAGTAACAACGCCACAACACATTTACATTATTCAGACCACCAATGGATACCTAGTAATAAACAAGGACACAAGTGTTCTGTATGAGAATAAATCTCTATTATACAATGAATTCTGGACCCTATTAATAACAAAGTTACATAAAATCAATCACTACTCCACTATTAAGTATTACCTAACAAATGTGCCAAATCTGATCTTACTAACTTACTTCAACAGAAAAGTTAGAATTCCCCATAGTACCTATATAAATAAGCTGAAGATATTGGAAAAAACCAAATCCTTGAATACTAAATTCAATAAAATAGAGAGTAGCAAACAACTAACTCCTACCTTGATTCCCCAAGCATTATTAAGACTCTACCACAAAAACTTTATCAGTTCTCCTTTAATTAACTTTTTTGTTGAGCCTAGTGTTACTGAATGGTTAAAATCCATCAATTATAGCAAAAACCTATTCCTCATAAATGCAAGTCAGAATTGTGTCTACAAGCCCATATCCATTGAAGATTATATACTTCTAAAAAAAACAAACAAGGAACTATAACCAGAGAATAAAACCAAATTTAGTAGAATCTTGGTCACCTTCAAAACTAAATTATTATTTAACTCTCTCCCAACAAGGTATAAACTTCACAAACGGTATCCCACAACATATCCTGATCAAAAATGTTCAAGATGTGACTATAAAATTGAAGACATAATACATATGGTGGAATGCCTTAAAAGCAAGGAAATGATTCTTAAAGCCATCCCAAAGCTAAACAAATTAATTAATCAGAATCAAAAGAAGAGATGTAATGAAACTGTCACTCCAGCAAAAACTTTCCTAACAGACACAAAAGGAAGTGTTCTACTTCTAATAGCTTTAACCACACCAAATGAGTACCTAAACAAATTAGCAGAAATAAATTAAAAATCAAAATTGTCAACAAGTCCCTTAAGGTTCTATAAAAAATTTGGAAACAATGTTCAGCCATAGTAACAACATCTTTACAGATCGGCATTAAATGGAAGAAGAGCAAACTAAACAAAAACAGCTCCTTAAAAAAAAAACAATAACAGTTATGACCAGAGTTACAACATATTCAATAGTATTTTGGACACCATGGAAATTAATAATAATTCTACGAATTTATCAATTTTTACACCCACTGCAATTTTATCATTTTTGAATGGGAATTAGCCATTCAACCTTGTTCTGGCATCCCTAGTTACAGACTGCACGGATGTTATATTAAGACAACTGCAATAGGCTATAGTTAATTTACTAAATATAAAAACTATCAATGTATTGTTTATAAATTGAGTTTCTAATAAAAACCTGTATTTAATGCTCATTTGCAATAAAAAAAAAAAATTGTTTATAGTTTAATATTTTTATTATTAATATTAAAAAAAAAACTATACACTCTTTCCGCTAATCATTTTTATTACTAATTCCACAGCAATGTTTGTCAGAAGTTTTATACTTCTATACTAATAAAGTTTCTATACTATCATTAAACACACTTTGTAAACATACTACAAAGCATCTCCCATCCAGTTTTATCTTTTTTTTGTTCCTTTGGTTGACTTGAGTGTCAGTTTCAAGTCAAAAGTGAATGAGGTAGAACCTGGACTCCTAATAGCAAGAAAGAATACTTAGGAAGAAGACTTTTGGCTGAAGACTTCCCTCCAAGACTCTATAATAGGGCAGGTAGGTTTACAGAAAGAGTATTCACTAAAGGCTATGCCATGCGTAGTGGTCTTGTCCTCAGGAAATTCACTAGACCCCAAGCTTCCTGAAGCATGCAAATAAATTTTCAGTTTTTTGGTGGAATTTTGCTTACCCTCTGACCTTGAATTTTTGGTTACACCAGATCTGCTGAAATTTCATTGGCTAGAGACTTGGAGTTGGATAATGCTATAAGTAACAAAAAATAAACAAGACATATATGTGTTTCACATGTTCCTTTTCGCATCCCCACCTTTGCAGATAGGTGTTGCTCTTACTGCAGTTAT